TTGCTTAAAGTAGTTTGGCAATTTCGCAATTTTTTAACGCTTGTGTATCCACAGCCTGAGAGCTAGATTATAAAAAAGCAGTTCCTTTACGTCAACTCCAAAAATTGATTAAAAATGTATACTATTGTAAAAAAAATACAACATGCTCATCAATGACGTTCACTAAAAAATCAAAGATTACTTTAGATTACCTCAGATTATCTGAGATTACTTTAAGAATTCCTAAAATTACCTACAGATTATTTGATATTACTCTTAGATTACTTAGGATTTCCTATTAGATTACACAAGATTACCTGAGAACACTAAAGATTATTTAGACTTGCCAAAAATTACATTGGATTACCCAAAATTTCGTTTGGATTACCACTGAATTACCTAGCCTTTGTACAAAAATTACCTCCGTGACCAACCCCTCGATGTTTGCATTATTTGTAAATTTTTCATGAGCCGTACATATCCCCTTTCTCTTTATGAGTAGTCATATATCCCACCCCTATGAGATATGCGGCAAAAATACAAGGTTTCAAAAAATTTATTTTGTAATATGAAAAATAAATATTTCGGATTTCTAATATTTTTTTCATAGTAGTGTGTAGACAGTACAAAGTTTTTACTGATATAGTTTGTTTACTATAAAGATAGTAAATAATACTTAATAAATTAAGTTCTTAATAGGTGCGGCGTATATACCGGAGTTACTCTACTAACTTTAATGATATGTATTATTCATATAAAAGATTTGATATCAACAACTGGCCCTAATTTAAATCCCAATCATACCGAATAAAAAATATAATCCAAGTGGTACTATTTTTAACTTTTGTACAATGAAAACTAAATACGTATCTTTGTATTCCTATTACAGAATATTCCTATTCCGATCTGAATGACTTTAATTCTTCTTATATGAAATTTTTATATCGCGATTTATTCAGAAACATTTTCCCTTTCAACCAAAGTAGTTATTTAATTCTCCTTCAAAACATTATTCAAACCGTTATGAGAAAATTATGTTACCTTGTCTATTCAAATGTTTCCAAAATATTAAAGAAGTAAACACTTGGCTCTGCTCTCTTATTACTAAATATTCATTTTTAGGTAAAAATGAAAATAAGAGAAACAATCTCCAATGATCTTGATCATAAAAAATGTTATCCAGGGCATGATCCTGAGCAACATTCAAGTGGTTTTAGTCGTCTATCGGACACTTTGAGTAATGCTAATGCTGGCGGTGCTGTAACTTACAAATGTTAACTTGCAAGCCTTATAACTCGAAAAGTACTTAATGAAAATGAATTTAATTATAGTGTTTTGGAAAACTCTCCAGATCTGCAAGAATGTACAATAAAAAAAGGGAGTTCCATTTAAGAAATTGAAGGTAACCTTCACGTGACTTTCAAGCAACTATTCAAGGTCAAACTAATGACATCATCTTATGCTCCCTCAAAGCCATACAACTTTTGTCTGAAATATTTTTTTCTAAGATTAAAAATAAATAAGAGTTATTTGGGGTGAGACATTAACATGGGATACCCAGTATACAATGTGATTAGGTTATACAGTCATATAAGTTACGAAAGTTGTGCAAGCTACAAGGTTTAAGTCTAAGATAAATAAACTTGTATTTGTAAGATTTGTGTTATGAAAATAAAAAAGAAATAAACAGTAAAAAGATAAACAATAATAACCTACTCGTTACTGAAACACAATGTCAACTATATTAAAAATCGGCCAAAGACTAGCAAATAAAGATGTTATAAATATACTAATAGAATTTAATGTTTAATATGCATTAAAAATTTTTACATATTGACTACATATTCCGAACGTAAATGTAATTTATGACACACACACGCACGCACGCACGCACGCACGCACGCACGCACGCACACACACTACACTTTTTAATCATTAACTACACATGTACTAATTCTGTAATACCTGCGACTAAAGAAGACTTGTAAAGTTGAAACTAGTTTCGCTTATTTTTAATGCATATTAAACATTAAATTCTATTATTATATTTATAATATCTCAATTTATTTGCTCGTCTTTGGCCGATTTTTAATATAGTTGACATTGAATACACAGTAAATTAATTTTTATTCAGTATAATTAGATTAAACGTATTCAGATTAAACACATTATTGCATTAAAATTGTAATTATCTTTTATTATTTATTTCTATTAACTATTATTATTAGGTATACAACTTTGCTTCCGCCGTTTTCCTATAGATGGCTTTAGCGATAAGTGGTGGTCGAAATAAATAGATCATAGACGTCATACAATAAACT